TTTACCAGTCTATACACTACCCATGCAGCCATCTGACTCCATACATATTCAGGCTCCCCTGTCTGACGGGGGGGCCCCTCTGGGGGCCCTCTCCGGGGGCCCCTCTGGGGACTTCTCTGCGGGGGGCCCCCCTGGGGGCCCCTCTCTAGGGGGCCCCGCTGGGGGCCCCCCTGGGGGCCCTTCCCTGGGAGGCCCCTCTGGGGGCCCCTGTGGGGGCCCCTCTCTAGGGGCCCCATTAGGGGGCCCCTCTGGGGGCCCCCCTGTGGGGGCCCCCTCTCGAATACCTCCGCGTGTGTTACTGTGTGGTGGGGTTGCTCTTGTGTCTCCTACTTTTCGTCGGGGCCCCCTTTTGCTTTCTTTGTCTGGTTCTTGTTATGCGGCAATAAGAAGCCTGAGGGGGGGGAGGGTCTTCTTGGGCCTAGAAGAAAACATAAGGAGACTCCTCACCTCAGCTGCTGCTCTCAGCAGGGGCCCCCCATATCACCTGGGGGGCCCCCCCCATTGGCTCAACGGGGGCCCCCAAGAAACAGGGAAATACCTACATAGGGGGGCCCCCAACCAGCCTGGGGGCCCCCACGATGCGGAAAGCGATAGTGCAGCTACTGGGGGGCCCTCAAGGGGGGGCCCCCCAGGGGGGGCCCCCTCGGAGGGGGGCCCCTCAGGGGGGCCCTCGGGGGGCCCCTCAGGGGGCCCCTCGGGGGGCCCCTCGGGGGGCCCCCCTGGTGTATGTGGTGAGGTGATGAGTCAATTTAGAGAGAAAGTATGCGGAGAGCTTCGGCAGCTGGTGCGGCTGTTTCGTTTGTTTGCTGCTGCTCCAGCAGCAGCTCAGCCAGCAGCAGCAGCAGCAACAGCAAAAACACCAGCAGCAGCAGCAGCAGCAGCAGCAGCAGCAGCAGAAGATGCAGCAGTGCTGCCTGAGGGTATGGAGCTCGCCATAACAATTGTGTTGACCCCCACGAGGCTGCCGCAGCTGCTGGGGGCCCTGCAGCTTCCATCTCTTCCTTTGGGGGCCCTTGAGGCCCCAGCAGCAGCAGCAGCAGCAGCAGCAGCAGCAGGAGAAGAGGCAGATGCAGCAGCAGGAGGTGCAGCAGCAGCAGCAGCAGCAGCAGCAGCAGCA